AGTCTATAAATATTGATTTTTTTATACTGACCACATATCTAATCATCTTTTTTTATACTGACCACATGTATAACCATCAATTAAATTTATACATTAATTCTAATAGTTCAATAGCAGATTCTTATATTTTACACATATATTATAATGTAATATGTAAATTGTGACAAATTTTTACTTTATTTTGAAGCTCTACGCCATTTATTTCTTTTTCTTGTCTTACTGCATTAACTCAGAGCTGCAGTGGAACTGAACAAGTGTTGAAAGTGGGTATCTTTGTTCAACATTCATCATTACATGAAGTTTGATGTATTCATCCTCATTTTCAAGTTACAAAAGTATTTATTTTTACTGTTTCAAGTAGTTTTAACCAGAATGAAGGCTGGCTATTTTCAGAATTTTTCTGCATGTATTGAGATTGTCATGTAATTATTTTTTCTTATTAATGTTGTGAATTAAATGGATAGATTTTTTTAAATGTCAAACCATTGTACTTCTGAAATAAAATAAAATATGCCATGAAAAAAAAATACTAAAACGCAACAATAAGATTACAGGACAAAAGACACATTAAATGTCCGAAACTAGAAGATAACAGTATTACTAAAGTCTAAAGTAAAAAGAAAGCAAACCTTGCAGAATCATGCTTTCATTAGCTTAATGCTTATTTGCATGTCTAATAAATACTTAAGAAAACTGAGGATTAATTTAGAAAATAAATATAATGGAAGAAATCTGCCCCAAAAGACAACTACAATATCAAGTAAATTGAGAAGACATTAGACGTGCCCGACTTTCCACAAGGAACCTGGTTAACATTAGTTTCAAAGATGGAGAAGAGAGTGAGTATAGTCTGCAAATTGTAATGAGAACAAGCCAGGAAGACACTTATTCCCTAGGCCCCCTTCCAGGCTCGATGGTATACGGGCTGAAGGAGTCATCACTTAAGAGGTCTGCAGGGGAAGCAGTACCATTGGGAAGAGTCAGGTATCCATTAGAGTAAGAAAATAAAAGGAATATTCAGCAAAGAGGTTGAGGACTGGGGGATTATTTTGCTTATGAACTCCAAATAGGGCACAGTGGAAGGACTTTACGAGTTGGGGATGGGTGGTGGGTAACAGGACAGAAGATACTGACACCTTCAAGGAGATTAGATGTGGGAAATGAAAGGTAATCTAGGAGTTTTGATGGCACCCTGTATAAATAGGAACAAATAATGAGAGAAGTCCCAGCAGATTCAAGGCAGATGGTGGTCAGACTGTGAGTGCTGGCAGGGAAGGAAGAATGGGTGCTTGAGGTTTCTTTCCTTTTGACCACTTTTGATTAATGGGAGCAAGGACATCTCCAGCAAATCCTTACTTTTTAGTCTTTTTCTTAATTGACATTTCTATGACATTTGAAATTGTTGACCGGCATCATTCTTGAAACCATCCTCCCTTCTCATTTTGTTAAGTTTCCCATACTTCCTCTCTTATCATTCCTTCTCTTCCATTGGCTCTTTTCTTCTACTAACTCTTAATATTCTGTGGTTCAGTCCTGCTTTTCTCTTCACTCTGCACAAAACCTCATGCTCCCTGGTTAGGTTCATCTGTACACATAGTTTTAGCTACTGCCTATATTCAGCTTCCTAATGGACATCCTCCTCTAGACAAGCAGTGGGTACTTCCATGACAAACATCTCCAAGAACTAAACAATATCTCTTTGCCTAAACCACCCATTCCTTCTGTATTTCCTCTCTAGTATAAAAGGATAATGGGATGTTTTCTCCGATCTTAAAATTTGGCTCTAGTGAAACCCCCAAAGCTGAGAACTACAAATGATAAACTCCCCTACACTCTAAAAAGAACAAAACATCCATGCCAGAGTTGCTAAAAGACAGCATCTCTATCACCCACCTCCCGCCTATTGAAAATGAAACAAAACAAAACAAGATTAGAAACAGAAGTGAATTCATAAACATAGAGAATGCTAGGGCTTTACAACCTTAGTGAGAACAAAAGCAGGGGTTCTCCAAGAAAACCTCTGGGACAGACTGGGTGATAACTACAAGAAGGGAAATTGACATCTGAATCTTTGGCTGGCAACATACTGAGATAAAGAAACTCTTAAAAGCCCAAAAGAACCTGACATATCCCCAGGAGTTTAGGCCATATGTGAACACAGAAACTGGTCCCAGCCTGGAGAATTCTGAAAGCAAGAAGTTGGATGGAGCTTCAAAACGGCAGAGCAAGGACTCAGAGGACAGCAGTTAGATGAGCTACATTTCTACCACTGGGTTCTATAGGTTTCCCATTAGCCAAATACAACAGATGCTGCAGAAGGGCTAAAGCATCTCGGTAGGCCAAAGACATGTGCCTTCTTGAGGAAGGAGACTCAGCAGTAACAGGCTGTAGGTAGACTACAGGAGGGAAGAGATAGTTAGAGGCCTGCCAACTGTAGCTGGAGTGTGCACCATAAAAGGGACCTGGGCAATGTGGGCATACCACGGGGGCCTCCAAAAACCATCCTAAATGCACAACTGTAAAAGGCCACACTTGGACACCTGTCACACAGAGAACACTGGCAGTTGGATTACAACAGTCCCAGTCACATAAAACTTTGTCCTTTCTCTTCTAATTTTCCTTCCAATCAGAAGCCAAAAGCAGAAAGAGGGAAGAAGTAGAAGAGTGAAGAAACAGATAATACTCCTCTACTGCATGGTCCCTGAGTCATGATTAGGTCTGAGTTACATCCATTCAACTAGATGTAAGGTTTGGAGTAGACTTTTCATACCTTTGAATTTAATCATCAAAATAAGGCTTGTTCTTATAGTAAAAATGACGTCTTGTCAAGAGCCAGAGAAGGAAGATTCAACATGACATGGCTAAAGTCAAGGATAAGAGAAAAATAAAGCTAGTTCTTATTTGTATGCCATCAGATATAGCCCACATACCAGCCCACAGTGCCACCACTACTGTGTTCTTCAGGTTAGGAGTCTAGGAGTCATCCCTTAGGTTCTCCCCTCCCTATACCCTGATATCCAGTCATTATGTCTTACACCTCTTTCAACACATCTCTTCTTCCTAACCCCTTAGCTACTAGTCTAGCTCAAATGTGAAGTACTAAAATAATCTAATTTAGTGATTCTCTACCCTGGCCTATACTTTAAAATTTTTAAATATTAAATCTAATACTTAGGCCCCAGCCTAGAGACTGATTTAAGTGGGATCAGGTGGAGGTCAGCCATGAGTTTTTTCGAAAGGTCTCCACGTGCTTCCAAAGTGTAGCCAAGGTTGAGAATAACTAACCTAACTGGTCTCTTCTAGAATCCAGGCTTACCTTCCTCCAAACTATCTTTCATTATGCTACAGAGTCATCTTTTTTGAAATGCAAATCTCATATTATCCTAGAGCAGTTGTTTTTAATCTAGGCTACTCATTAGAATCACTTAGCCTTAAAAAATCCTGATACCAAGCCAAACTCCAGGCCAATTAAAACAGAGTCTTCAGGGATAAGAACCAGGCATTGGTATTTATTAGAGCTCCCCAGGTGATTCCAACGTGCAGACAAGGTTGAGAACCACTGTCCTAGAAGCAATGGGAAGTCACAGAAAGTCTTTAAGAACAATAAAATCCAAACTCCCCTGAGGGTAATGAAACCTTCTATCTAACTTTAGCACCCTTGGCTCTCACACTACCAAAGAAAGGTAGCTCCCTACACTACCCTTTTACAAGGGGCCACGCTTTTACACTTTTGTGTAAAGTATTATCTCAATTTGGAAACCTCCTATGCTCACCCATAGCTAAGGCCTGAACCACCTTTAAGGTTAAGACCTTTCAGGAATAGCACCCTTTGTATAAACCTCCTCTGACAGACACAACAGGGCTCTTCAATCCACCTGTGACCGTTATGATTCTGTAGGGCAATTCTTAATGTTTAACTCTAACTTCCCTACTGAACTACCTGAAATTTAAAACTTCTTATTCATGCTTTTATCCCCAGTGCCTATCACTATGCAGAGCACATAGTAAGCACTCAAATATCTGTTGAATTCATTCCATTTAAGTAGATAATTATCTGTATTATCATGCAGGTAGAATCCCATTTTAATAAACTGTAACAGACATCGTATTTATACACTAGAGTCAAGTCTCATTAAAACAGAAACCAACAGTTAGACTTTTAAAAAATGTAAGGCAAACGTTTAATGTTTGTTCTACTCATGAATAGTAGCAAATTAAGGAAAAAGGCAGGTACAAAGGGCAGTGTGTTTCCAGAATCGCAAGGGTGGCACCTTACAGAATAATGATGCTTGGCTTTCCACCTGAATATGTCCTTTAAAGCATACTTGTTCCAAAATTTTATGCTGGTATAATGACATCTGTATGTTTTAGGAAAGTGAGCTAAGACTACTTAACTTGACCTAAAATGATAGGTACTTTGCCCCCTTAAAAAGAAAATAAATTAAGACAAGCTTTCAGATGCTCTGAATGAGCTGTGTTAAGCCTAAAAACCCGAATTAATATGATCACCAGCATTTGATGGCAATTTCTAGTACTCTGGATACTCTGTTACCAGCAAAAGCTCAGCTCTCCATAAAATCAAGGACAGCTTAAGCAGAAGGCACCAAATATTTTATTTTTAAAAAAGTTACATTTAACATTTTATATTTATAGAGTCACTACATATGTGACTGACCCAAAGACAATAATTTTGCACAAGTATTAACTGAAGAGGAACCAAACACCTACATAATGCACCTCATTCAGAAGATTTATGTTGTACCCACATTCACAAGGGCCATTAAAATAATCTTAGCATGCAAAATTATAACTGTGTAACTATGCGTTCAGGGTAAGTTTTTTATCTGTCATACATCCTTGATTACTAAATTAATCCGATATTTACCAAATACCTATTAACTCTTTAGGAATATATTAAAACTGAAGTATCTGAAGTGACTAGTGAGAAAATAAAGTCATTAATCACAATACTTGGCCTTTGTGGCTAATTTTTTTTTTACCTTATTTGGCGATTTCAAAGGTGAGATGGCTATTTTATTTGGTGTCTGTGTTGTAGAATTTAAAGTTGATCCAATAACACCACTTTCAGATATTGTTATGGTCTTTGATGGAGTCCCGGGAGTAGACTGTGAAAGAACCCTACCTGCAAATGAGAGGCAGCACATCAGTTTGACTCTTTTCAATAATCGTATAAAAATGTATTTGATGATGATTTATACCCACAAGGACTGTAGTATATATATGTTCAATATTTCATACGCAGCCACTTATGAACTGAAACACTTAAGTAGGTCTAATGAACTATGGTGAACCTAGGCAGAAGGAAACAAAACAATGCTTCTTAGTAACACTTAGTATCTTAATACCACCTTATGAAAGTCCACAAAAACACTTCTGCTCACATTCTCATCAATACTGCTTTGTGTTTTGTCTGTTTTCTTGGCCACACCGCTCGGCTTGTGGGATCTTAGTTTCCCAACCAGGGACTGAACCCGAGACCTCGGCAGTGAGAGTGCGGAGTCCTAACCATTGGACTGCCAGGGAATTCCCTCATCTATACTGTTAGGTTATATCTATAAGAAAATAGGCTCAGGACAACTAAGGAACAAGTCCTGTGTAACACAGCTCCTCAAAGTTAGGACTTGAATCCAAGTCTTAAACTTCAGTCTCTGTTCTCTACTATACCTCAGCTTCTTCTCTTTGAACTGAAACCATTCAGGATACAATTTAAGTCCACATCTATAAAACAGATAGTCACTGAACTAACTTAAACACTGGTTTAATACTGTCTCATTTTAGTCTGCCAAAAAGGGGAAAAAAAATTCTTCTAGCTGTCCTGGCCAGATTCCAACAAGAATGCTGTGTTCCCTTCTGGAAATATCCTTCAGGGACAAAACAGAAAAACTATAGTGTGTCTGGATGGCTTACAGAATTGGAAATCATATCACAAGGAGTTGAAATATTAGGAATTTTTGTCCTAGGTGAGAGAGGAATACAAAGACATGACACAGCTCCAAATTCCTGAAAGACTGTGTGATGCTGCCATTCAGCATTCTGGCGCCGACCTCCTCCCCTTCCATTCTGGGCACACGGCAGGACTGCCCTTCCTACCCGTCCCTGCAGCTCCCTGTGGTTAGATTAGGGCCATATGACTAGTTCTGACCAACAAATTATGAATAGAAGTGATGTGTGTCATTTCTGGGTCAGAACATTTACTGCCTACGCAAGACCTTCCAAAGCTCTCTTTTCCTCACTGCGTCTGGATGGTGGCTCCTCCATCAGCCGGGGTCCTTGAGTGACCATGATGAGAATAGCCCCCTTTCTAACCCACAGTAGACATGTAGATAACCATGAAGTATGAATACAAAATAAAATTTGTGTTTTCTTAAATTTCTGAGATTTAAAGACTGTTTATTATGGCAGAGAACCAAGACTGTCCTGATTGATCCATGCTGTCAAGTTGAAGGATTAGAACCACTCTGTATCCATCAGATGCACACACTAATATAAACAGAAAATTTTTAGTTAAGCAGTAAGAAAGAACTTCTAACAAAAATTTCCAATTGAAACGACTGTTTCTATATGAGTGAGTTTCTACTCACTGAAGGTGTTCAAAAACAGATGCTGGATAATCAAATCCACTGGCTGAAGAGGAACTCCAAGCACTCAAGAAATAGAGAAGGTAGATAACTAAATTATCTCTAAAATCCCTTTAGATGCTATGATTTAACTTACAGATACAGTCAGAGATGAAAGAGAGAGGGAGAGAGGAAGAGAAAAAGGGAAAAAGAGAAAAAAAAAAGGGTCTTACCCTTCAAGCAAAAATAGAGAACTAGCATGTAAGAGTTTCAAGGCTGTTTTTTTTCTAATAACAATGTGACAGTAAACGTATTTTTTTTTAAAGATGAATCAAGTTTTGTCTGACACATGAATTTTAAAAATATTTTAAATATATTTTTTCAATTTCTTTTAGTACACGATTACATTTTATATTATTGACATATTCCTTAATGAATTTCAGTTGAGAGTTTTGCTAGGGTTTTTTTAGGCTGAATTACATCATAACTAAATAAGTCAATTCTATATAAACTAAATGAATCTATATCAAATATTTTTAGAAGGGCACCCTCAAATGTGGAGCCTGCCTGAAGTAGCATGTTTGTCTGTTCTGGTTTCCAAAACTAATACCTCTGGGATAAGCCTAAAGCCCCAAGAACCATTATTTTAAGAAAAGAAACTACCAATAAAGACACATTTTCATAAAATGATCATCATTTACAGTTATTACTATAATTTCTTATTTGTTAAGCATTACATACATTTCAGAAAACATACATATAAAAATCCTCTATTCCTGAGTGAGGATAACTGATACCAGAAAAAGGCCAGTTAAAGTGAATTACATTTAAAACAAGGACAAAAATTTCACTGTAAATAACAACAACAAAAACCCCTAAAACTAAAACTTTTTTTGCTTATATTTAACAAAAATTCAGTTTATAATTACAACTATACTATCTCTTAGAATGAACTGTTTGAGGGGGAGAGGATTCTTCTGAAAATTAGTAATGACATTACAATGACAGACTCTGTTTGATGGGCGCAACAGGATGATACAGAAGATTATTTCTGCCAAAATATTTTAGGATTTCATCAATTTTCCCAAGAACCCTCTATATCCTTTAAAATTCAAATTATTCTTTTTTGAAGGGCCACTTGTTTTTCATCCAGATAGCATTTCTCCTGATTAATCTCCAAATCCCTGTTTATCCTTGACTCTGCAGACAGATTCAAGAAAGTATACAAGTTATACAATTTCACCTTGAAATCAATTTGCAAAGCATTTTACACTCTACTGTCAGGTATTCTCCAAGAATCAAAAGAGACATAACCAAAAAGCTACAGATGGGACAGGCTGGGGGCAGAGAGCTAGCTTATCTGAGCCAGGACTAATTCTATAAGAGATTAATTCATTAGTGAATATTTTCACATTGATGGAGTTTGCTCTGCTATAGCAGCAACCTTGTACCTTGGGAGCTCTGATAATGAGGACCTGATAATGAGGACCTCTGTACCTCATTTAACCATCTCAAAAGTCATGTGAAGTGATTGTTATCAACATTTTACAGAAAGGAGTAAGATGAACAGAAAATATATTTACCCAAGATCACAGAGAAAATGAATAGAAGACCCATAACTAAAACCCAAGTCTCCTAATAGCTCCTCCCATACACCACACTGCCTCCGTGATACACATATTCACTCAACAATACACATTCACCGAACCACATCTATGTGCTAGAAACTGTGCTAGGTATTGGAGAGTCATAAAAAGCCAGTCATAAAAGGACAAATACTGTACGATTCCACTTATACGAGATACATAGAAAAGTCAAATTGATAGAGACAGTCTCTGCTAGGGGCTGGGGGAAGGAAGGAATTGGGAAGTTATTGTTTAATGCGGACAAAGATTTAGCTTTGCAATGCGAAAAAAGTCCTAGAGACAGACAGTGGTGATGGTTGCACAACAACATGAATGTACTTAATGCCACCAGTGGTTAAAATGGTCAACTTTATGTTATGTGTATTTATCATAATTTTTTAAAAAATAATCTTTAAAAACTAGATGGCAAACAAAATCCAAAATTACTATTAAGAAAAATTTTAAGTGTAATAGGGGAGACAGACAGACAACAGGGGAGACAGACAGACAAGGAAACCAAGTATTACAATATACCATGACTAATGGAAACATTAAAAGCCAGTGTGAAATTTAACAGAAGTCTGATTTAAGTTAAGTATTTGGTAGGTATAACCAAGTTTTATGGAAATATATAGGAGATGGTCAGAGAAAAGAGAACCTAACTAAACCCAGGGATCAAAAACTTCCAAGACAGGTGGAGATAATCCAAAGATAAAATGGATGAGTCAGCCATAAGGAAAGCAAAAAAAGTCATTTCAGGTAAAAGCAACAGTGCCAAGGGCCTAAGTTCTGAGAGAACATGGGCCATTTGGTGATCTCTTGAAATAAGTTACATCAGTAGGTCTGGAGCTAATACAAGCTGAAAATGAAAAAGGTATATGTTATATAATAAATGACTTTAATGCTAAGAAAGCTCTGGCATCTGAACTTATTCCTGAAGGATTAAGGCCAAGAAATGGATGTGGCCAAGAAAATTTAAGCAAGGGTGTGACAAAATCATATTTGCATTTTAGAAAAATTGATTTTATACAAACACTAAGTTCATCTTGATCAAAAGACAGAAAAAGATATCCATCTTCCATGAAAAGCCCAAAGGTCATTAAAAAGCAGTCTAAATGTAATTTGAAAGATCCTTAGCTATAATATAAAGATAATGGAACCTCCTTGTGATAAGACAATTCAGCAGGAGAGCTACTTTGGTGGTTTAAAATTTGGCTTACATGAATTTAAAAAGCTACAAACTATTAGTTAACAGTAGAAATTATCCCTCCAAACTGAACTTAATGCCAACAAATTCTAGTGAAATTTAATAGAAGTCTATCTCTATGTATTTTGGGAGGGCTAATAAGTCTGTCTGTAATTAAAAGGTGAAGCTATGATCAGTGTGCAACACACTGTAAATCACCCAAAGACCCAGCAATGAAATCCATTATAGTCAAATGTAAGAGAGGTGAAATCTTGACATTACCAAATATTCACTCAGACACTTCTGCAAAACCACAATTCTTTCGCATACAGCTCCCCTTCGCCCCTACATAATTAAAAGTTTTAAGGAATTCTCTCAAACTCAAAAGCAGTAGAGAACATGGCACTGAGACACCCCTCCTCGTAAACCACCTCTACTCACCCAAACTCCTAAGGGTCTGGTGGTCCCTTTATCATCAACATATCCAAGCCTTCCTCACTTTCAGCCAACTAAAGCCCACTTCCTGAAGCAGCTCGAAATCCAAACCCTTTCCAGTTTTTCCTCTGGGGCCACGCCTATCTCCCATGACAGCCCTCTAGATACGAGCATCCTATACCATCCCAAATCTCTACTGAAGGCCAAAAGAAAAAGAACATTCACTCACCCAACACTGCCCTCAAACTACAATCTCCTCATTCCTTCTCTCACTTGCTAAACAGAGAAGCCTCCCTATATATTATAATTCAAAGCCTAGGAAAATGATCATTTCACTGCCACTGATTTCAGAGTTGCCTACTGCTATACTGTCTGTAAATTTATCAAAGACAGTAGGAGGTGGTTTTAATACATATCCCAGGGATGGTTAATTAACATTTGAAGTACCTTCATCAAGAATACACATTCTAGAAATGGGTAATTAGCATTTGAAAGTCTCTAGTCAAAGTCTACCACCCAGAGGTGCTTCCATAAGCTATTAGAACAATGGAAATTTAAAATGAGCTCCTAAATGGTGAAAGAAGTAATGTTAGTATAGCTCTGAATTAAAGACCAGTCACCACAGCTGTGTGATTTTCTCCAGAAGTACTGAGGTGCTTGCCAGGCAAGAAGAGAGCTGGACTTAACCAAGCCATTATAGAAAGAGAGAGTGAAAAGAGAATCAATGGTGTTTTCTGGGAGCAGTAGTGATGGGTCATGAACTCCATGCTGAGTAAGGAAGAATTTGAGGACTGGAAAGGGATTATTAATGAGAAAGTGGAAGAGTTAATGGATCAGAGATTTCAAAGTGAAAGAATTACTAGATTGGAAGTACAAAGGCAGATCAACTAGAATAATAAAGAGTGAAATACTCAAAGTCAAGATTTCTGAGGTGTTATTAGTGATGACATATCTTAAAAGTATATAATAAAATAATTGGGCCATGCTGAGGAATTTGCTGGTAAAAGTAATATAACTAAAATTCTGTTCTCACTTAAGTAATTATTATCATTGTGATAATTTTCTGTTTCATAGAGAACTGCATACAGAGAATATTAAAATACGGAAACCAAAAATTCAAACAGAAACCATGAAATACGATACTCTCACATATATTACTTTAAACCTAACAGATTTATTAGCATGTGCTCTAGCATTAGCTGGATTCAAATTCCAACTTGGCCATTTACTAGCTGAGTGCCTCTGTTTCCACACTGGCAAAATGGGGATGTTATTAGTACCTACCGCATAGGATTGCCAGAGGATTATATATGTCACTCTATGTAAAGAGCTAAGAATAGTGTGGAAGCCGTAGCAAACACTATGTAAATGTTAGCTAGTATTATCAGAGTCTGAGACTTCACTACTTTCAAGGTATACCAAAAACCAAAGAGGATAAAGTAATGGACTGATTTTGAGATAAGGCATTTTGCTTGAAGGACACATTTAATAGGTGTAACATTTCTTACTAACCAGTCTGATTTACAGTAATAAGCACTAAAACATTTCAAGGTAGTAGAACAGCCTTTTTTAAACCTAAAAGGAAGGTAAATATTTAGCTAAACAAACTATAAAGAAATATAACCTGCAATGGCTGGTACTTGAGTTGTCTGTCCTGTAACTGCTTTACTATTAATTGGTTTTGCAAAAATCAGCTTCGTGATTACTGGACCAGAGGTTGGAGTTCGAGGTTTCTTCGCAATCTGAAATATATAAATAACTATAAAGACCATTGTTTCTATGAAACACCTATTCAATCAAAATTAGACAAGATTGATATACAGAAGTACATGTGAAACCAGCTCATTTAACAAAACATATCTAAGTACTGACGTTAAAAACATTTAAAATGCAGCCATTCACCAAAATACTAATATGATCACATCCTTAGGCCATTATACAACAATACCTTTGGATTTTATTGCAAATTCTTATTTTAGTCTCTGGGACATATGCATATAATGAAAAACAAATTAATTTGTAAAAATAATGTTTAATGTTCAATAGTAATGTTTAAAATAACCATTTAATAATAATAATGAAACACAAATATGGCACAGCAATATCCTTTTCCAAATAGCTAATTATTCAATAATAAAAAGATGGAGTAGAGTATGTTAAGAAAGCATAGTGCAAATGATAAATATAATTTCATTGGCCCCTGGAAGCAAAATATAAATACACATAAAAGATAGGCTCATGATTATATCTTCAACTTTAGATCTATAGATCAGGGGCAGATAAATAAGGAACTGCACAAGTTAACACCCTAGGATACAAAGAGACATGTTTGGCAAAACACAGACTATTCTAAAGGTGAAGCCTCTGAAATATTATTTACTAAAATACACTTTACTAGACTACAAATTGTTTGAAGGGAGGGTCTATGTTTTATTCATCTCTGCTTTTACGTTATACACGGTACACTGTTGCCCTAAACTAAAATTCTCCACAAGTCAAGGAAGGTAGAGTTACCAATGTCCTTATACTGAAATTGCAATGTATGCAAGGCACAGCTTTTTCTAAAAGTCAGAAGCAGAAATTTAGCAATGATAAAAAATCATAGCCTTTAGCAATAATAAAAATCATAGACTTTTTTATCAGTTTATGATAAAAATCATGGACTTTCAGAGCAGGAAGGACATTAAATACTAATTTTATCTTTGGCAGATTGAAAATTGAGGCCCTGAAAGTACTATTATTGGAAATAATAACTCAAAATGAACAAACATGACCAACTTAAACGACAAAACATACCAGAAGCTGTAACTGATTACAGAACTAAGTAAATACCAGCTTTGTGCTCAAACTATAAATTAAACTTAATAACATTTTCTTACACTTAGAATATATTACTTTCTTACACTCAGAACATATTACTGACAAAACAAAATGTAAAGGAAACACAAATCACCTTTTAAAAAAACGAACCAAAGAGATTCCCTACTATATTAAAAAATATCCAGCTTGTAAAACTCTGATATACCCAAATAAATCCATAATTGTAGTTTTAAAAACTGATGCAATTTGGGAGACACACAGAGAAAATATTTCCCAAATGTATTTACAGGCCTAAAACTCTAAAATAAGTTAGAATATGTTGTCTATTGACTTAGTATTAAGAATCTCAAGAGGTAGAGGTATTGATATTCTTGGAAATCTGTGTCTCGAAATAGATAATCTTAGCTATAGAGTTTGAGAATTTAAAGTGTTTCCCCATTTTTAACTAATTTTCACAATCATAAAACTATATGAATACTTACCAACCAGGAAAAAAAATGTAAATACGACCAAGAGCACATTAATTATTCAAAGGAACAATCTCAACTTGTCCTTGTGGTTTTGTTTCTTTAGTGTAGCATTGCTGAAAATAAGGATTTCCAATTCTGTCAAGGAACCAGGCTTTTTGCATTATGAATTCTAAACTACCCTAGAACAAATTTACTTTATTAAATAAAACAGAGCATAAAGGATCTTCTTTTTTTTTTTTTTTTTTTTTTGCAGTATGCGGGCCTCTCACTGTTGTGGCCTCTCCCGTTGCGGAGCACAGGCTCCAGACGCGCAGGCTTAGCGGCCATGACTCACGGGCCCAGCCGCTCTGTGGCATGTGGGATCTTCCCGGATCGGGCACAAACCCGTGTCCCCTGCATCGGCAGGCGGACCCTCAACCACTGCGCCACCAGGGAAGCCCAAAGGATCATTTTTTAACAAATGTATCTAATTAGCAGATTAAGACAAAAATGAATCAAAGAAGGAAATTTACAAATAAGACTGCCAAAGATGTGATCAAATAATACATGCAGTAATTTTGGGCACTGTGTTATACAGATTCAGGAACTAATAAGGAGTTATGTTGTTCCATATGGCTAATTATCTATTATTCTTATATACTACGCAAAAGAAACACAGGAAAGTGTTTATATATCTGTAACTAAGTGTAACTATACCTCTTTGTTACTGCCTCTGGCCTCAACTGTCACCTTTGGAGATGGGTCTCCTTCTTCCACCCTTTCCTATTGTCCACACCCTAATAAGTTTCAATACTCTGATTAAACTTAAGACAATGCTGAGAACCGTCTGGGAAAATATCAGGGGATCATACACACCATGTAAAAGTAAACCAAATATTCTGTTGCCCAAAATGGATACAGATAGATGTGTAGCTTTTTGTTTGTTTTTTCTGTGCTTCAGTGCTTCAGAGCTTTATAGGCTACTCTTGAGTTGAAAAGATTTAGTTGCCTAAAAATAACTGGACAAGTAGAACAATATTCTAAATGGGGTTTCTTTTGTTTCTGTTTTTATTTTATTTATTTATTTATTTTGCGGTACGCGGGCCTCTCACTGTTGTGGCCTCTCCCTTTGCAGAGCACAGGCTCCGGACATGCAGGCTCAGCGGCCATGGCTCACGGGCCCCGCCGCTCCGCGGCATGTGGGATCCTCCCGGACCGGGGCACGAACCCGTGTCCCCTGCATCGGCAGGTGGACTCTCAACCACTGCGCCACCAGGTAAGCCCTTGTTTTTGTTTTTAAATAGAAGTCTTTTTAAATAAATAGAATCAGATTTTGTAAAAGTAAGGACAAGAAGAGAAGTTATAAGAATTAGACCCCAGTCTTTGTTTTTATTGTTGGTACTTAGGGGATTATAGTAGAAAACTAGTGGATACAAGTAAACTGGTCTTACAAATAGTATGTATACATTGCTCTTGTAAATGAAAAAAAAATGACATTCTGATTTACATTTACAGTATCTTGCGAACATGGTTATGATCCATATCCCCAAAGCCAGATAAACTCTGGTAAACCAATAAAAACAAGTTTTAAAACTGATTAAAAAACAAGCTGAGGACAAGGTGCTTGATGGTGATAGGATATCTCATTCAAGAGATCCTCACCAAAAAAAGTAAAAGGAAGTCAGAATTAAGTGAGAGATGATAATGAACAAGAAAGAGCACTAAATGTTTAATAGTGGCAGAAGGGACATGGACAAATTATAAAGTTTGAGAAATCTTATGAAGTTCTTAAATAAAAAGCCTGTGAAAAATAAGTTTCTAACTATTTTGTCGACATAATAACCAAAACAATATTTCTAACATCAGCTGAGAGTGGACAGTTCCCCAAACCTTCCTCCTTCCTTATACACCTGCTTTATTTCTCTAACTCATGCCTTCTTTCTAAAATCCAACTCTTTCAAACAGGAAATGCATTTGTGGTCTTAAGTGGATCATTGTATTTCTAAGAGCAGTGGTGACCTAAAAAGGCCTATTGGGCATGAAAAAATACTTAACATATGTTCTTATAACCTTCTATCTTAGGTTTCTATTCATACTAACAATGGGTACCATTTTGAAGGATTCTCAATGTTTTGAGAACCATACCAAAGAGTTATCTTTTCTTATGTGTTTCATCACGATCAAATAGCCATCTTACAGCTAAAATCAAAAACTCAGAGAAAATAAGTAGCCTATCCAAAGTTCCGCAGCTGGGAGGGCAGCAGAGAAGAGACTGAAATCCAGTTGGTCCAATTCTAAACCTTCCATCACATGGCACTGCCTTTCTACATTGCAAACATGAGCGATGCAATGGACAGTAAATTCCAAAGAAGAGGCACACACTGGCTGGTATGCACTACTGCTGGCTTGAAGGGTTTCTCAGAGCAGCAAGTTTTCCTAGACTCTGGCCATCTGTTAGCTGAAAATATCATGTCTGAATGATTTTTTGACAGCCTGACATCAACTCTGGCATCTTTATACCAGCAGAACATCCTTGTACTCAAACTACTACTGAGAATAAAATTGTTTTAAAATGAGTAAAAAGCTATAAATACACTAAATTGGAATTTAACCAAAATTAAGTTCTAAGTTCTCTGGCAGAAATTTTCAAAAGCATTGCACATATCAAACTTTACAAAAAAAACCACACAATTACTAAAAGCAACATTCAAAAGAATTCAGTAACAACTATGCATTTAATCACCCTACACACGCAACTATGAATCAATTTAACATGCATTTTAACTAGTAAGCGCCCTTTTTTTTTTTTTTTTTTTTTTTTTTTTTTACCTGTACTGTTTTTAACTGTTGGGTCTGTAACACAGAGGGCTGAGTTGTAGTATTAATCAGTTGACTTCCTGGGGTCAATGCTGAGACACCAATGACAGGTTTCACCTCTGGCCTCCCTCCAATGGTAACTACTTTAATTTGCTGCAGTGGTAACTTAGCATCTCCTGACTGGGCCTGAGTTGTAACTTTCTGAGCCTGGGGTTGGCTATGGGGTAGTGCTAAAACAATTGGTGAACCAGACTTGCCCAAAGTTGTTAAAATTAACTTCTGTCCATCTGGTTTAAGGGTCTGATTGCCAAGTTTAAGATCAGGTGTCTGTGATACTTTGTTTAAAATAATCTGATTGGCTGATATAGTCACAGGAGTCTGAGCACCAAGTTTTTGAAGGCCACTTGGAAAAGCTGGTTTCACCGTGGTATTACAATCTGCTTTAGTAATTGTGGTATTCACTGCAACTTGGTTAGTGTGGTTACTGTACACTGTTATTGGTTCCGTGGAAATGGGCGTGGCTGTAGAGTCACCAGTAGAATTTATGTTGACAATTTCTTCCAGTTCTGTCTCCATGGGAATTGGGGATGAAACAATAACAGCCTCAATACTATCATCATCCACTAAAGTTATACCAGTGTCCATTATCTCCTCTGGAAGCAAACTATTCACCTCAGCTGGCACCACCTCCATGATCGTTCTCCTGCTAGAAAGTTGATCAGGCACTGCAATAAAATTTGAAAAATGAATAAATTACTAGGTTTCAAAACAGATTTAAGAGAAGAAAAAAAATTATTCAAGAAAAATGCAAATGACAAAACAAAAATTTTTACTTATGTATAACTGAATGAAGGACATTCCTGATGCATATTTGGGTTAAACCATTTTAACAAATCCTCAACATTCAAGAATCTGAAATATAAGTCATATGGGACACAAAACTAAAAGCAAACATTCTCATTCGCCATGTCTCAACCCAAAAGTATACTGCATTCAGGCAACACTAAGTCACATAATTACAGGAAACTCCTTTCCAGTTCCTGCTCATAAATAAAACCTTTTAATCTTTGACATGTCTGATCATCTTACTTCTTCCCAGTTATGGGTTTTGTTTTTCTTTTTCCTACCGACAAACTTGAAAACTGCTGATTTGCACAAGGAAATAAAGATTTAAATATAAACAGATTTTAGAAAACATATTCAAATCTCCAGTGAGCGAGGTCCTAAAATGAGGTTACTAAACCATTTATAAAAATCCATTAAGATGGGGAGGCAGAAGGGTGAGCTGTGACAAAGCGAGAGAAAGGCCTGGACATATATACACTACCAAACGTAAGGTAGATAGCTTGTGGGAAGCAGCCGCATAGCACAGGGATATCAGCTCGGTGCTTTGTGACCGCCTGGAAGGGTGGGATAGGGAGGGTGGGAGGGAGGGAGATGCAAGAGGGAAGAGATATGGGAACATATGTATATGTATAACTGATTCACTCTGTTATAAAGCAGAAACTAACACACCATTGTAAAGCAATTATACCCCAATAAAGATGTGAAGAAAAAAAAATCCATTAAGGACTCAAATTAATGTTAAAGGAGTTTCTAGAGTAATCCATCTCAGCAACTGTAGGTCAAATGGCTTATCTGGCCCAAGTTTGATCAATTTGCTTCATACTAAAGAAAGCTTTATTTGGAAAGAAGATTCTCAAATCCTCCTCAGCCATTCAAAATGTCACAAAGGGAACCATTTAAGAGGAATACAGCTAGGCCCCATAAAGAAAAAAAAATGGTAATAATAATAAAGCAGATTACGAACAAATCAGAACTGCAATGCTTTCAGCCAAAGGTCATGCAGAACTTCCAATAAAGGAGTCAGTACCATTATCTTCACATATTAAAGAGTTCATCATATTTATGACTGACTAAATAAGTTATCTGCCCAGAGAACGTCTAAGATCCATAGGAACCTAATCAGTAATTCTTTCTTTTCCCTTTTTTAAAAAAATATAAACATGCAATACCCATTCCAAGATTAAGAGTAACAGACATGAACAGCAAATTATAATTATTAGCATTGACAAATACTAATACTGCCAAAATTAATCTTCATTATTGAGCACTTACTATCTACCAGTGATGGCATAATTTAATTTAATCTATCCTGACATAACTTAATCTATCCTGACAACTCTAATATGGTATCATTATCACCCCCATTTTACATATGAGGAAACCTTAGAAAGGTTAAACTATTTGCCCAAGGTCACACAGCTACCCAGTAAATGATAGCCAGAACTCAAACTCAGGATATGTTTTATGACACAAAGTTCATAATTTTAATCACAAAATTTACTGCCTTAAATTTTTACCACTGGTATTTTTAAATTGAGAAAAAAAAAAAGTCTACTCCTTTACAGTCAACCTCCTACCCCAAAATCCTACTCTACACAACCACGGGTCTGTTCTATCACCTCACTAGATTAGTGTTGCCTTTTTGCCCATTCTAGAACTTCATATAAATGGAATCATATATTACATACTCATGACATAAAGGAATATACAGTATAAGCCTTTTCCCTCAGTATGTTTTTTAAGATTTATCTTTATTCTTACCCTTATTAGCAGCTCAGTTCCTTTTCATTGCTGAGTAACATTCCACTGGATGAATCTACCACAAGTTGTTTATCCATTCATCTGTGGATGGACATTTGGACTGTTTCCATTTTGGGACTATTATGAATAATACTGCTATGAACATTCAAGTTTTTTATGGATAGATATTTTCATTTCTTTTGAATAAATACCTAGAAGTGGACTTGCTAGGTCATAAGATAAGTTTATTTTTAACTTTGCATGAAACTGCCAAACTACTTCCCAGCTCAGCTGTACCATTTTGTACACCCACCAGCGATGCATGAGGCTCCCAGCTGCTCCACATCCTCGCCAGCAACTGGTTTTGTCGGTCTTTTTAACTTTAGCCATTCTAGTGGGTGTGAAGTGGTATCTCATTGTGGGTTTTTTTCTTTTGCAGTACGCGGGCCTCTCACTGTTGTGGCCTCTCCCGTTGCGGAGCACAGGCTCCGGACGCGCAGGCTCAGCGGCCATGGCTCACGGGCCCAGCCGCTCCGTGGCATGTGGGATCCTCCCGGACCAGGGCACGAACCCGTGTCCCCTGCATTGGCAGGCGGATTCTCAACCACTGCGCCACCAGGGAAGCCCTCATTGTGGTTTTAATTTGCAATTCCCAGATGACTAAAGACGTTGAGCATCTTTTCATATGAATGTTATCTATTTGTGTATCTTCTTTTAAAAAGTGCCTGTGTTAAAGCCTTTTGCCAAATTTTTAAAATATTGGGTTTTTTATCTTCTTGTTGAGTTGGATGAGTTCTTTACATATATTGCAAAACCATCAGTCACAGTAACTTGTAGCTCAGAGGAATCACTAAGGTTTCCAAAGTATGAGCACTTCTCTAGATGCGGCTCTTCCTAATCAATAGAATCCCCTCTGGCACTTACAGAACAGGGCATTTACAGACAGGCTCTTTAAAACATCAACACCAATTATACTTTCTGCAGTGGAAGCCAGATAACAGTACACAACAATAAACGGCCTCACCCACAGTGCCACATTAGCTTCCCTTCCCTACCGTGGACCTTGCCCAAGGCCTGTCAGTTGTCTCTGAACATTCCATCCCCCATAGAACAAGGTAGGATGATGACTTGGGTGTCAGCATCCAACACAACCATAAAAGTTTGACTCCCTCTTCTCCCTGAAGTTCCCCCAGCACGTTTAGACAGATGGGTGTGGCCTCTGGTCTCCCTTAAGGATAGGGAGACCTCAGCCCAACCCTTATTCATCTTTCTCCTTAAAACACCTGAAGTCAAGGTGTAAGAGGAGGAGAGGTCACCCCACGGAAGGAGACAGTGGTCAGACGGTGCATTTACTTACAGTTTCAAGCCCCCACACTTGCAGCTCAACCAAACAAACTTCTAATGTTTTCGATCCACCCAGATCCTCATTTCTAACATTATTTTCTCAGCTTTGGGGACTCCTTGACTCAGCAGCTACAGCCCCACCGCCCTTCTGCTAGGGCCATGGAGTTGAGTGTACAACAACCAAGGTAACCATTCAGGCTATCTCTCAGCTCAGCCCCTAAATATTCATTAAGAGGTAGAACACCAAAGGGCTCCTACTTCCCTTGCCTCTGCCACCCTTGCCCACCACTTGGGTGAGAGCATTTGCTGCCAGATGCCAAAGAGTCTTTCAATATCCCCTAGCCCAGCCCTCAAGGTCCTCATCCTTCCTCTTTCAAAAAGCCATGTCTCTGTCAGCACTCCATTCTTATGGCTAAAACTGTCAAGTACTGGGAGGGGGCTGAGATTTTAGCCTCTCCTTGCAAACTAACAAAGTAGCCTGTCACTGTTTCGTGGATACTGGCGGACAACACAGTAGGCCTAGGTCAGAGACACAGGACTTACTACTCCAAGCACAGCAAGGAACATAAGTTTCATGCGTGTATCAGTTCCCCTGTTGCGCCCAAGTCCTACAGGGCAGATGTGGAGAGGAGCCCAGGTAGACACTGTGCAGGCAGGTTTTCATCACAACTGAGGGACCCTGAGCTTAAGGAACCTGAATCATTTATAACCTGAAGCACACCTGCCCTTTGTCCAAAGGGCGATATTATCTTTACTATACTGGACAATAAGCAAATCTGCCCTCTGCAACAGCAGGAGTCGCTAACTATCATCCAAGGCTTTATGCTATACAAACATCCTGGAAAAAATTGTTTAAAAGGGCTGTCACACTACTGGCCTGCGCTCTAAAGCCTGCAAGCCACAACTACTGAAGCCCACGTGCCACAACTACTGAAGCCCTCATGCCTACAGCCCGTGCTCTGCAACAACAGCGCAGTTTGAAGTGAGAAGCCTGCGCACCAAAGCGAAGAGTAGCCCTCGCTCGCTGCAACTAGAAAAAGCCCGTGCGCAGCAACAAAGACCCAACGCAGACAAAAATAAATAAAGTTTTTTAAATAAAAAAAAAGTAGAAAAAAGGGCTGTCACCGCCTCACTTGTAAGAAGTACAGAAATGCAAAGACCCAGGGAAAACTGTTTCCCAAAAGTATCTCTCTCTACTTATTTATTTTAGCAATGTTTTTTGTACTTCTAGTGTATAGGTCTTCTTTCTATATATATTTTGGTAAATTTATCCCTAAGTGTTTCACGTTTTTTTGATGCATTGTAAGTGGTCTTTTTTTTTTCCATTTTCCAACTGTTTGTTGCTAGTATACAGAGATTCAACTGATTATTTTATATTGTCCATGTAGCTAACAATTAGCTAAACTCACTAAATCTCGATGTAGAGCCCTTAGGATTTTTTAGAAAGATAATCCATGGTGTCTGAGAATAAGATCAGTATTTCTTCCTTTCCAATCTGCATGTCTTTTGTTTCTTTTCCTTACCTTACCGCCCGCACTGGCTAGGACCTACAGTAAAATGTTGAATAAAAGTGGTAAGAGCAGACATCTTTACCTTGTTCCCAAACTTACCCTTAGTTGTAGGTTTTTCATAAATTCCCTCTATTAGGTTGAGAAAGCTAACTTATAGTACCAGTTTGTAGTTGTTTCTTTTTTCAATCATAATCATAAATGGATATCTAATCATATGTTTTTTTCTACAACTAGTGAGATAATCATATGGCTTTCCTCTTTTAGTCTGGGAGTTATATTGATTT